ATGTTACTAATGGTTTTCTTGCCTGCAGAGTTTAGCCACTTGGGAGAATGAAAACAAGATCTATTGCAAACAAACTCTTATTGGGGGAGAGGGTCCTAAAACATACTGGACTCGGGAATTAGCTAACGATGAGCTGATTTTGGTAAGACCCTTTCACCCTTCCAGTGCATACATTGTACTAATAGGTTTTGTTGCTATGTAATCGGACTGTTACTTTTTTCCATTAATTATTGTGAAACACGCTGCTTTATATTAAATGCATTTGAAAGGCCAGGATGCTCCTAACCCTCTTTAGTGCAATTCACACACAATGACTTTTTTTAAATCATTGTTCTCCCAAATTATATCATGTTCTTCTGTTTTAACTGCCTCTAAACACTTAGTGGTAAAATAATCATAATGTGCTAAATCCAATTCTATAAATGCAAAGTAACTCCAGTAATTTCAGTTGTAATTGCAGATTTAATCAACGTAAGTGAGAGCAGAGAATTTGACCTAATTTCTGGAGAACTGCCTGCTTTGATTTACCTGGAAATATATCCTTTTCCTTCTCCTTTTTTTGGTACATGTGTTATTACATGCTTCTTATCACATGGTATATGACAAAGGAGTGCCTGGCATACTGTTAGCACTATATAACCTCCCTCCGATAAGCAGGAACATGTCACCACATCCTCTATCGCCTCTGACTCCCTGCTCATCTCTGAACTCCATTCAGAATTGCCCTCTATTTTCAAGATTCCTAGAATCGCTCTTTCTTATGTCTGAGCTCAACTATGTCCAGCTCCAATCAATCTGCTTCTTCAGTCCTTGTGTTCCCTCTGTCCACTCCTACATAACACTCCACACTCAGGCAGGAGCAGGTCAGCAGTTCTGCCTCATGTATCTGGAACTGGATCCCTCCACCTGAGCCAGTGAGGATACATCTACATAGGATACATCAAAGACCCGAGGCACAGCCACAACTGGACTGGGTCAGCTGACTTAGATTCGCGGGGCTCAGGCTGTGGGGTTAAAAATTGCTGTGTAAATGTTCAAGCTCGGGCTCGAGCCTGAGCCCTGGGACCTTCCACCCTTGCAGTACGGTGTAGATGTACCCGCAGTCAGATTCAGTCTATTTACTTCTCCTACAGTTGTCATCTTGGTACTGATATCCCTTCTCTGAATCTCACCTCAGTGCCCAGCCCTGCTACAACTGCAGCTGTGATCTGTAACTGACTAGAGACATGGTCACTTTAACTTGATTACAAGTATCACAGTTAAACTTGTGCCCACACAGTAGCCTTTCCAGAGTCCAGAGTCACTGCATTGCCTGTTTGTATCAGTGCATTCTGGGTAAATCCAGTAAGCTATCCCAAGGATGGTCCAGTGGTTAGAGCACTAGTCTCCACTGTGGGAGATCCAAGGTCAGTTCTTGCTCTGACACAGACATCCTGTGCAGCCATGGGCAAATCAATTAGTGCCTCTCTATGCCTCAGTTTGCTATCTGTAAAATGGGGCTAATAGCAGTGCCCTATCTCACAGGAGTGCTGTGAGGATATATACATTAAAGATTGTAAGGTACTCAGATACTACAGTGATGGGGACTATATAAGTATCTTAGATAGAGAGAACAGTACTTCAGCCAGGGAATAGAGTGTCTGGAGGACATGCTGTCTGGGATGGAGGCAGTCAACTGACTTATAGCACATACAACAATGGGGAGGGGATTTTTAGTCCAGAACACTGGGGCATACCTCTGCTCTTACGAAAGATATCAATACAATCTAACCTTCATGTAATCCAGACAGGAGCTCTGTTTTTTAAGATTTCATCTGAAAGGGGAAAAAAACAACAACAACAGATCTGACCCTGTGTAGACAAGAAGCTTTTAGAATGTTAAAGTTGTTATTTCAGATAGTGAGGAACAGTGTTTCTAGGAATGGGGTGGATGTTATTAGTGAAATCACACTGGTTTCCATAAATATGAATATCCAGATCCTTCTGTTTGTTCAACTCTAGTAAGCCTTTATGTTACCCAGATAGCTTAGGAAGCGGGGAGTTCTACCCTCTGTTTCATACCTTTTTTTCCCTTTTTTTTTAACTGATACAAACAGAATTTATTTCCAACTGTCATTTTTCCAACTCTCTAACAAAGCATTTTTGAATTTTGTCATCTAAGCAACCTACTCACGAGGCATTTGCAAAACCAAGGCCAACTCTTACAGTACAAGCAGGAGATCCGATTGTAATGCTGTCACCTTCTGCAGCCACGACACAAACTGACCCAACTGGGAAAGGAGAGTGAGGTTAAGAAACACAATATGGACTCATAGAATATAAGGCTAGAAGGAACCATTGTATTCAGCTAGTCTAACCTCCTCTATAACCAGAGGCCATAGGACTCCCCAGAATTAATTCCTGTTTCAACTAGAGCAGTGGTTTTCAACCTTTTTTCATTTGCAGACCCCTAAAAATTTTCAAATGGAGGTGCGGACCCCTTTGGAAATCTTAGACATAGTCTGCAGGCCCCCAGGGGTCCGCAGACCACAGGTTGAAAAACACTGAATTAGAGCATATTTTTTAGAAAAATATCCAATCTTGATTTAAAAAGGCTTTCTCTCTTGAAGGTTTTTGCTTGAACCATAATGACTGGGAGCTGAAATTCGCCCTGGTGCAATTTTCTGCAAGCAGCGGTTTAAAGCTTAATGTATCCCAGCTCCAACCTTCTTCTCAGGCCTCCCTCCTCTTCAACACCCCCTTCTCCTATAATCCTTCCCATAGCTCCCCAGTCAGTTTATCCCAGCTCCCTTCTAGCAGAGCTGGAGGGAGCCCCATTCCTGTGCGCCTTGGGGGTCTCTGCAGCTGGGATAGCTGCCTTGCATGGAGCAGAACCTGTGCTGTAGTGTATAAGCCATGCAGGGCTGGTGTCTGATCCTTTGAGAAGACACAGTTCTGAGTTTTTTCAGGTATAGCATCATACATTTCACACCAAGGTGAATTTTTTTTTTACATCTGTGTTTTGTGTTCCCAAAAATGATCTTTGCTCTTTGTTCATCTTAACTTGGGAAAGGTGTTATTGGTACGTCAAGAATAAATCTTGTTCGTCTAAGGCCTGATGGTCTATGGAGGCAGGATCAACCCCCTGTTTTGCAAAAGATCACGTTAACACTTTAAAACTCTTTTTTAAAAGATGCTTTCTCCAGTATTATTTATAGTAATCCCATTGGAAATGTGGCAATGGAGCCTTCATATTTAATAGCATTATTATTCTATATCACAGACTTATTAGTACAGGGTTTCTCAGAAATGTTAACATGGGGGGGTTCTTTGGTTTTGGGTTTTTTAAGTATTGAAAACTTGGATTTTAAATACTTTTGAATAAAAATGGATATAAAGGATTACATGGGATGTGCAAACAAAAAGGGAGGTGAGGAGGGAACTTGTCAAAGTTCAGATTTCTTACCTTGAGAGTATCCTTAACTATCCTTAACTTTAAATTAGACTACAGATACAGGGCCAGATTCTGATCTTATTTGCACGAGAACACTATTCACTAGAGTTATTTTGAATTTATATCAGTGTAATCAGGACCAGAGTCTGACCCAGCATATGTATTTCATGTACAGGTCTAAAAATGAAGATTTATGGTTGAGCTTATTTTAAAATAAGGTCTTTTTTCCTTACTTCCTAATTGTGAGTCTATTGTTTTTTGCTGTTATTGCGCTTTTCTGTGACCTTAATGAGCTGTCAATCACTCATGCAAATTAGGAGGGACAAAGGGTCTGCTCTTACCCAAAATTAAAGGTTGCTGCCTTCAAATATTAGCGGTTCAAATTAAATAATTTATCTTCTATCTTTTCTGTGTTGCTTCTTTCATGACTGCTCAGCCCCTTATCTGTATCGCAAATGCTGTATAGTAGATGATTTCTGAAGCATGGCTTTAAAAAACAGCTTCAAACCAAATTTTGCACAGTTCACATGTCACACAGGGGTTCTCAGAATCAATTTTAGCAAGGGTCAAAGATCAGAAGTTTGAGGGGTCTGAAGCATTGTTTCTATTCCCCTTCCTCTCCCTGGAAAATTCATGCTATAGTTGATTAAAACTGGTGAACTGTGAAGCATAGATGAATGATTGAACATTTTTTAAATGATATTTCTGGATTCTGAAATTAAACATGGCAGGTAAGATGGTCCAACCCACATTGGAGAGAGATCGCACAGCTGAGTGCCAAAGTGTGTCTGTGTGGGTTTAAGCCTTGGAATTAAACCACTTAAAGGTTTAATGCTTCCTATATTTTAAAAAAGTCTGATCTTAAGTAATCAAGTGGAGGGTCTGCTCCCCAGGGCTTAATTTTTGCTGGGGCTTGCCAGTGCTGAGCCCCAACCTCTAGGCTTGGCAGTTCATAACTCCGGCAACTCTGGGCTTGCTGCATCAGTTATGAAAGTAAAAAAGATTGCTTTAGCCCCAGCACCTCTTTCATTACAAATTAAACATTGCTTCTCCCACTGAAGTCAATGCGGGTTTTGCCATTCACCTCAATAAAAGCAAGGTCAAGCCCAGAATCCAGTACCCATCCATGTTTAAGTACTGGAGATACCTAAAGCATTATTTGAATATGCATCCTGTTGTAATACCATTTGTAATACAGCTGACTGACTGATATAGGTATTTAATCATATAAGTTAGGAGATAGAGTTATCCATTGGATAGACCATTGGACTGCAAGTCAGGAGATCTGGCTTCTATTCTTGCCTTTGTCACTTCCTGTGTGACATTGGACAAGCCAACAATTTTCAAACTTGGGTATTCTAAACTTAGGCACCCAAATAAGTGGCCTGATTTTGAGAGATACTGAGCATTGACTTTGATGGGCACTATAAATGGTAAAGAGGACAGGTCACTGATACAGAGCAATCTGACTCACTTGATAAGCTGGTAACAAGCAAATAATATATCTTTTAATACAGGTGAGTGTAGATGCATATATCTAGGAACAAAGAATGTAGGTCATACTTACATGGCGGGGGACTCTGTCTTGGGAAGCAGTGGCTCTGAAAAATATTTGGAGGTCATGGCGGATAATCAGCTGAACTTGAGCTCGCAGTGTGATGCTCAGGTCAAAAGGGCTCATGTGATCCTTGGATGCATAAACAGGGGAATCTTGAGTAGGAGTAGAGAAGTTATTTTATCTTTGTATTTGGCACTGGTGTAGCCTCTGCTGGAATACTATGTCCGGTTCTGGTGTCCACAGTTCAAAAAGGACGTTGCTAAATTGGAGAGGGTTCAGAGAAGAGCCACAAAAATGATCAAAGGATTAGAAACTAATGTTAGTGACACAGTCATAGACTCCAGGAGCTCAATCTATTTATCTTAACAAAGAGAAGATTATGGGGTGATGTGATCACAGTCTGTAAGTACCTTCTTGGGGAAAACTATTTGTCTGCTAGAGGGAAGAGCCCATTATCAAAGATATAACAAGATCCAGTGGTTGGAAGTTGAAGCTAGACAAATTCAGACCGTAAATCAGCTATATATTTTTAACTGTGGGAGTAATTAACCATTAGAACAATCTACTAATGGCTGTGCTGGAACCTCCATCACTGGCCATTTTTAAATCAAAATTGAATGTTTTATAAAATATATGCTCTAGTTCAAACAGAAATTGTGCTGGGGACGTTCTACAGCCCACGTTATGCAGGAGGGCAGACTAAATGAGTACAATGGTCCCTTCTGGCCTTGGAATCTATGAAAAAGCTGTGGAAGTCTCTCTATTCAAGTACTGGGGACCTGAGCTAATGTCCACTGATGTCAATGGGAGCCCGTTCATGGACTTTGATGTGCACTGGATCAGGTCCTGGGTGAAATTACAGAGTGTGAATTGATGGATTATCTCATTCTGCCAGGAATCAGGGCCTGCAGCAGAGCCAGGCTCCAAGCAGCCTCATCACTAGAGCTGGCCAGCAGCAGGCTGCCTGATTGGCCATTCCATCTGATTGGCTGGCGGGGCTATGTTGTAATTTCTGAAATAATAAATTTAAGACACTATAATAATTTACACTTAGATACAGCACCTCCCCCAGCACTTTACAAACATTCAGCCTCACTGCACCCTTGTAAGGCGAGTTTTATCCCTATTGTACAGATGGGGAAAATGAGACAGAAAAAGGCTCGTGACTGTTTGCAGGTTATACAGTGAGCTAGTGGCAGAATATATTAATATAAACAAAGTCTTGAATTCCACCTATTATGCTGTTATGTCTCGACAGAGCTGATTCCTGGATTCCTATGTTTCACAGGATAGCTCTCCTTTAAATTTGTACTTGCTAGACAGAAGCAAGAGACTGGTTAAAAGGCAATTATTTGGGTTTGGATCCAGATTAAGTTTAGATGAAAATTTAGGTTTGAAGCTTATGAGAAAGGATGGGAATATCAAAAACATCTAAGGGAATTGTGTGCCCAGTTCCCATTGATTACAATGCGTGTTAGGTGCCATGTTCACATGGGCCCTTTTGAAAATCCCACCTTTGTCATTAGCATTGGTTTCAGATTTGACAGTGCTGGACTCTTCCAAGATGCTTTTTGGAGATTTCAGCCCAAGACAGGCTGGACTGTCTGTCTCGATTTCTACCCCCTTGCATAATGGCATTCTTATGAGATCTGCTGTGCTGATGAGATTTCTTCCACATCTCTTCCAAACTAGAACCAAAACCTTAGGGGCAGATTCAGACGGAGAGACTCTCCTGTCTCCTCAAACCACTCCCCATCCCTAAATCCAATGAATTTTAGGGCAGGGGGTTGTGAGATTACAATCCCTCAATCTATCTGTACCTAATCTGTGGGTCTGGATCTATACTGTGCAGAAGTCTAGTCAGAGCTCTTCTGAGTCTCCATTAAAGTTTATTTTCCTCTGTCTAGGAACTGTTCTCATGGACCAGCACTGTGCAGAACTCAATGGGCGTTACATGTAGGGAAGGGCTTCAAGATCTGAGTTTCTTGGTAGTTTAGAGTGGAATGTTAAATTGATTTAAGGCTTGATTGTGCCATTCTTATGAAGAGGACCACTTATATGATCAGTCCTGTTGATTTTAATGGGACTTCTCACAAGACTAGATGCTCACCAATGTATGAGGTGTACAACTGTGTCCTTAACATGTATCTGTGAAGCAAAGTCATGTGTAACTTTAAAGAAAAGGAGTGCAGAAAGTATGAGTACATGTCCCTCCAACACATAACTTTCTCTGCTCAACAATATGTTTTAATGCCATTTCACTAATAATGCTACTATGCTAAACTTTTAGGCTTTTCAAAATTTTCCAACATGGGTGCCTAAAGTTAACAACTTAAATCCACTTTAGGCACCTAAATAAGTAGCTCTACTTTCAAAGGGGCTGGAAATCAGACCACTTATTTAGGTGTCCAACTGTGGATTTAGGTGGCTAGCTTTAGGCACACAAGTTTTAAAAATATGAACTTTACCTATAAAATATAAAACATCAGAGCTAAAAAATGCAACACATTCCTATAGCATCTGAGAAACCACATAATCTAGACTGGCTCTTCAGGAAAGGAACAATGTCTAGCTCTGTTTGAAGGGTCATGTCAATGGCACCTGATAGGTGACTATTAGCAAGTAGTTTTCTAAATCCTGTGCAAACGTGTTTGATCTCTTTGCATGTGTAGCTAGGGAAGAAGTCTATAGGACTTTTGTCCCCTACCTCTTGCAGAGAATGTGTGCACAAAGTCAGTTTTATTTTGTTTTATTTCTATTAGTATTATTTTTATTCTAGTAGCACCTAAAGGCCCAACCCCCATTGTGTTGGGCACTGTACAAACATAATAAAAAGACAATCCCTGCCTCAAAACTCTTATAATCAAAATAAAATTGCTTAAAAACATCACAGTAATAAAACTCCTCGGGGGTACCATTCCTACACTCCTTTTTCTGGCATAGCTCCTGCTTAAGTTATCTGGCATGTGTGCATATTTTTGCAAATGTTGTCAGGAAGCCATGTTAAAGTGGGGTAAATCTGGTAGGGTATTAGTGCGCAATGCTGGATTATATGGCTGTGGGGAACTGGTTGAATCCTTTAACTGCTCATTTGCAGGGAATGAGTTTGCCTCAGACAGATTCCGAGTCGATAAGTGTCCATGTCAGAAAACATCAGCAGAATTGGCAAGTTTATTGGTAGACTCAGCAGAGGGGCCGAGGATCGAATGGGCATTGCAAGGAGACTAAGCTACCCTCTCACTCCCAAAGGAGAAAGCTCCAGGTCAGGGTCAGGACTCCCCGTCAGAGCAGTGTGGGGATACTCACATTGATGCTGTCTACACTATAGCTGGAAAAAGAGGATTTCAGTCTGTAGGTCTGTCACGTCAACATCTTGCAGCAGCATTATCCAATTACAGGTTTTATATATATAGTGGTATATATGGACCAGATCTTCAGCTGGTGTAAATCAGCATTGCTCCATTGATCGCACTGGAGCTACACTGATTTACACCAGCTGAGGAACTGGACAGCTAAGCAGTCAGTCTTGTACGTGCAGTCAATCTGATCTGAATCCCACCCTAAGCACCCTTAATTCAGACAAAGCCATTCAAAGATTGTGACTGTTTTCAAATATAAAAACCTAGTACATTCCAACTTCTCTTGCCATTCACAAATGCATGCCAAGAAACTGTAGAAAAATTATGAGGTTCCAGGCTATTTATCTCTCTGACAAACTTCGTGTCTGGGAAAGAGAACCACCTTCAGTATATTACCCTTTCAAAACTTACGTCTTTGCTTCTGCAAAGTTACAATTTAATGTCTGCTATACCACTAGCTACTGTGGTAAAATTAACATACTCCTGAAAAATTGTATGTAATTTTTGCCTATTACCTCTCTGCTGATTGATTTCTGTTTCTTTTCAAGACTTTTGGTGCCGATGATGTTGTGTGCACAAGAATTTATGTAAGAGAATGAAGAACACCAATTGACTTGTCATCTGGGATGGAGTGGAGGATTAAGAGGCAGCCGTTGTGAGAAATCCTGCATAATGAATATCTATGTGTACTGTTACTAATGCAGCATTGTATGTGACCAAGTGTGTCATATCAGAATCCCTATCTGCTAAGTGTATTTTGCTTTTGTTTTGCATAACAAACATTGTTCCTTTTGACTCTTATGCCGTCACTTTTCAGTCTACTTTGTATTTTGTAGTTACAAATTTGTATCAGTTATTAAATTTATTGGGCATAACTCACAGCTGTTTTGTTAGTTGTTCTGGATTGAAAGCCCAACAAAACATCTAGGGCTAGTATGGGCCAACTGGACACAGCCCCATGTTGGGGGCAGTGCAGCGTCCCACTGACCCTGGGAAGTGCTGGAGGCTCTCTGCATGCCTTCCAGAGCTCCCCAATGTGTAAGGGGAGTGCACAACTGGTCCCCCTTTTTAAGGGATACAGCATGCTCCCGCAGAGCCATGGCTCTGCTTACTCTCTACCCCTCCACACCCCCTCTAGGGTCACCATGAGGGAACAATCTCTATGCTGCTTTGAGTGGAGGGACTGCCATTCTGTTGCAAGCCATGCAGTGTGGGGAAAGCTCATCCCACTACATTTCCACAATAGAGCTAGGCAGGAACTACCCTTTTAACACTGGCATCAGTCAACCTTCCCCAGTGGTGACAGCCATTAGCCACTCACAGTAAGACCCCCAGCTTAATTTAAAGGCAAACAATGTTTTCATAATTTCTCACAGTGATTGCTGTCACACCAGGACATCTTGGATCTGCCCAGAGAGCAGTCAGACCCAACACACCTTGCCTACTATCCTTAAAGGGTAGAGCGGAGGAAAGCCTACTGAGACCCCCACCCCCACTGAACTTTTCCTTTTGTGGGTCACTTATAATGCTGAGAATTTCTTGTGGACCCACGGCAACCCTCAGCACCCCCTTCCCGCTCACTACGTGTGACTCAGTATTTCAACCTGTGAAGAGCCAGAAAGGGCTTGGTGGACCATAGCTTGAGAACCACGGAAAGTATCTCCATGCCTACTGAGTGGAGCTCAGACACCAGCACTGTTACAGTTTAGATCCAAGCTGGAAGTATCTTCAGGGCACTAAGATGTAAATGAGCCAGGCACTCCTGTTTTCTTCACAGTCTCCCCCTCCGGTATTACCACAGCAAATGTTGTTCTTTCCCTTTAAAACATATATAATGAAGTGTCCAGGAAAATGGAATAGAAAAACTGGCTATTTCTATCCCAGGGAGTTCTTGCGAACAAACTGCCAACACTGTTAATTAGCGTGGTGTTTTTCTGACGGTGATAAGAAAATTAGTAGCTTTTAGAAATGCATCTGTGGGTAAACCCTGCTACAACCAATACCCACAAAAATGTACAGAGCTACATACCGCTGCAAATCTTGCATGCCTTGTGTGGCTTTCAGAGCATCCCACAATGTGCCAGGTTAAAAATATCTGTCTATCTGTACAGAATCTCCCATGTCCTCAATGTTCCTCTGGTATCTGAATGAGGAATCCCTGGGTACTCTGTCTGTGAAGATCCTCCTTCAGGTTCACTAATAATATGAACTGCAGCATGAGTAACTTTCTTCCTGCAACATGGAGAGAATGCATCTTACAGTTACATGGAACTAACATTTGCCCTCAATGTAATAATTATCAAAACGTGGCTTTTTTGACAATAATACGCACCGCTTAGACAGGAAGTGAAGAACAGCACATCCACTTACTTGCTGTTCTGAACTGGCTTGAATTACTGGGGATGCAGGCATATAATAAGCTTAATAATAATAACAAGCAAGAACAATCCTACCAGCATGGGGCTGTTACAAGCTGAATAGAAAATTTGCTTAGCTGAGGAAAAATTGTTGAGGGGAAAAAATATTTTTTAAGAATTGCATTAGTCCACTACAATGTCCATTCCAACAGTAATCCATAGGAGAAAGAATAGTCTTGGCTTTAAGGCACTGGGGTAGGATTCAGGAGAGCTGAGTTCAATTCCTAGTTCTGCCATGGATGTGCTGTGAGAATTTTTGGGCAAGTCACTCATGATCTGATTTTTTCAGACATATTGAGCACCCTGTCTCCAGCTGAAGTCACTAGGGGGAGTTGCAAGAGATTGGCACATTTGAAACTCAAGCCACCAGTTTCTCAGTGCCTTAGATCTGTAGAATGGGAAATATGCTGCCCTAGTTCACCAGGGTGTTGTGAGGGACCTAGATACTGTGGTGATGGGGCAAAACAGATAGAGAGGTCCATAAAGATAAGAGAGAAGATTTATACAGGCAGACCATCAGTATCTGAAACATTTGGACCTAATCTGAACCAGAAAATGTTTGCCTGTATAGCTATACCAGTGAACCTTCCCAGTGTACACGCAGCTTATACCTGAAAAAGGGAGCTTTTGCCGATTTAGCTTATACAAGTCCCACGAATGAAATAAGCAATACTGGCAAAAGCACTTTTTTGTGTTATAGCTGTGTCTATGTTAGGGCCCAGATCGTTGCTTAAATCGGGGGAGTTAGGCACTTAAACGCGGGTGAAGATCTTGGCCTAGGGCTTTTGCCAGAGTAGAAATGTTGCATAAACAAAATCGCATCCCTAACTAACATTACTATCCCAGGAAAAGCTTTGAGTGTAGACTAGGCCCTGATCGTCCGTCTTCTGGTGCCTTTACCAGACTTGTCTCACACTACCTACACCTGAACAGAATGGAATCTACCTTGTAAGAGACTGTTTTTCTCTCTCTCCACACAAAATATGGCCACAGTATGTAGCCCAGCAGAATGTGGCCCAGCACGTTTTGGCTCAGATGGAAAAGTCACACACTTGTCTGGAAGGGAGAGCAGAACCCGAGGTTGATTATGACAATTGGCATATTTTATCCAGAGCTTCTTAATTGTTTTTAAATGTGGTCCATTATAGATGCATCTGAAGAGTAACCATGACCTCCTAGTCCTGCACTCAGCTATGCCACTGGGGTTGCTCCCCAGGGCAGGGTGCCAGCCATTGGATCCAGCTGAAGGATCAGGGCCATCGCTCTAACGTTTCCTACAACAAGTGAATGTATTTAATGGAAGCCATGAGACTAGAAAGGATAGTGCTAAATGACTCTGCTGTTCCAGCAACTATCCTTTTGAGAGTTTTCATGTTGATTGTCAAAAATGGTCAGATATCCATCCAGTTGGCAATTGCTCTGTAGCAAAGCACGAGCCATAAATCTGAGTTGTGAGGTTATGATTAAAAGCAGATTCTTGAGACAGGGATCGTTTTGTGTAACAGGAAATTTATCTGCTTTAGTGCTGGAAACTAGCCACAGAAATGAAGTTTTGCCTGTAGCTTAGCATTGCAGCAGTTCCCTACTCTCTTAGTGCTGTCACAGCAGCTTTGCAACCTTATCGATTTAGGGTTGCCAATTTTGGTTGGACATATTCTTGGAAGTTTCATCACATGACATAATCTTTAATTAAAGATTAATCTTTAATTCCTGGAGGCTCCAGGACAATCCTGGAGAGTTGACAATCCTATTGTGTGGCATTGCATTAGATTTATGCAGGTGTAAATTGAGAGCAGACTCTGGCTACACTCCAATCAGAGGTGCGACGGCAGCAAATCCCCAAGCTAGCTTTGCTCTAGCCAGCTCAAATACCAATAGCAGGGAAGTTGCAGTAGCACAAGTGTCAGCATGGGCTATACACATCCACGTGGGGTCCTGGGTATGGAGTCAGGTGGCTAGCCCATGCTGCCATGTTGAGATCACACCTCTGATTGCAGTGCAGATGTACCTTCTGACCCAAGGCGTTTGTTTTATTCTTACAACAAACAGTTGGAAGATCACAAAAGTCAAACAGCACTAGTGAGTCCCCTGACTCTTTACAATACAGCAATATTCTAAATCTAATTGCAAGGGATTTTGAATGACCATTGGCCAAAAACCTTGGAAAAAGACTTCTGGCTTTTTTTATTTGCTGCAGTTAGGCCACTTTTGGGAATTATACAATTTCAGTGTAGCAGTTACAAATAACCTGCACATCTTTGGCACATTCCAGCTCAGCGTGCTGTACAAACATCAGTGAATGACGTCCTTCAGAACATCTCTGTGAGTGAAGGCAGGAGGGTATCGTTATCGCAGCTTTACAGAGCATCATTATTAAGGGTCTGATCCAAAGCCCACTGAGATCAAAAGGACTCTATTTACTCTGACTTCCATAGGCTTTGGCTCAGGGCCCCAGGGATGTGCCCAAAGGCACACAGCAAGGCTGTGACAGAACCAGGAGGCAGTTCAGTGCTTTAGCCAGCAGGCCATGCCCCCCTGCAAAGCAGAAGCTACTTTTGCCATCACCAAGCTATGTTCTGCAGGCAGGGAGTGTCAAAGGGCTTAGTAGCACTTGAGGTGAAACATGCAGTTTGCCACTGCCATCTGGACACATTGGTGGCTGAATGATTGCAATAAGCATAACTGTTCATGACGTGTCTGCTGTCTTACCAATCCACCTCAGCCTGAGGCAGTCCTACTTCTCATCTGATGACCAGTGCCTGTTGCCAAGTGGCTTTCTGCTTGTGTAGCTAGGAAATGTCTGACAATGCAAGTGAATGTGCGAGGGAAACAATCTCCCATGAGTTGTCACATCTGATGATGACACAAACTTGGGGTGTTACTACTGAATAAGAATTGCTTATACCGGGCCAAGAGAGAATGAGGTGTTCCCTAAACATGTCTGAAAGACAAGATCCCTGCCTGGGGAGCTTGGAATCTAAGGGCCTGATCCTCCAAACACTTGACCAGTCTGTGGTGTTGAACGCCACATGCTTTATGAAAAGATGCTTGGAACGTGAATATGATGTAACTGGAATATGCTTTATGCGAAAGGTCTCTTGTAAGGTATCGTTACAAATCTTATAATCTACTGAGTTTGTTCATCCTATTTGTATGAATGTCTCATTCTTCTATCTAAAACTAGAAACATGACGTTAACTCTGAGGTCCTATTATAATTATGCAAGGTGTGGGCCATTAATGGTGATTTAGAATCTTTGTGGCATCCATTGACTAGGACAATTGGCCGTACAGTAACTCCCCACTTAACATCCTCTTGCTTAACATTCGTTCGATGTTACGTCCCTGCTCCATTATAGAACATGCTCGTTTAAAGTTGTGCAATGCTCCCCTATAACGTTGTTTGGCCGCCTGCTTTGTCCACGGCTTGCAGCCCCACTACATTGCCGCCCCCTCCCCCGCGCCTCCTCACTCCTCCCCCCCAGCCTCTTGAATGCCACAAGGCAGCTGATTGCCGTGGGCAGGAGGCAGGGGGAGCAGGCAGAAGGTGCTGATCTGCGGCATCCACCAGTGGGCCAGAGGTGCTGGGGGGCAGGGGGTGTAGGGGAGCTGATAGGGGGGCTGCCAGCCTGTTTAATAGCCATATTAAATTGCTTGTTTAAAATTGTTTAAAATGTATATAATGTCTTTTGGCTGGTAAAAAAAAATTCCTGGAACCTAACCCCCCTATTTACATTCATTCTTATGGGGAAATTGGATTTGCTTAACATCGTTTTGCTTAGGGTCGCATTTTTTAGGAACATAACTAAATGTTAAGTGAGGAGTTACTGTAGATGGTTTATTTACCTGTAAGCCTCCTTGTGGACGTGGGAACCAGCCTGTGGGTAATGAAGAATAATATCTTACAGTGACATGTGACCATGTCACCTGATACTGGAATCCATCTTAAACCTGATGCTTTTCCATTTAGAAGGAGGGATGGGAACCCACAGAGACAAAGGAGTCCCACCTTGGGCCAAAGCTATAAAAGGGGGTGGAACAGAACAAAGGAGGCTGCAGTCATGAGAAACCCCTAGTTACCACCTGAGCTGAAACTAACAAGAACTGTACCAGGGGAAAGGATTGGGCCCAGACTAGGAAGGAGTCTAGTCTGTGAAATAAGATTATTGGAATATCTCTGAGGGTGAGATTTTACCTGTATTCAGTTTCTTAATGTATTAGGCTTAGACTTGTGAGTTTTTGCTTTATTTTACTTGGTGACTTACTTTGTTCTGTCTGTTATTACTTGGAACCATTTTAATCCTACTTTTTATTCTTAATAAAATCACTTTTGTTTATTATTGAACCCAGAGTAAGTGATTAATACCTGGGGGAGAAAACAGCTGTGCATATCTCTCTATCAGTGTTATAGAGGGCAGACAATTTATGAGTTTACCCTGTATAAGCTCTATACAAAGTAAAATAGATTCATTTGGGGTTTGGATCCCATTGGGGTTTGGGTGCTGGAGACAGGAGTACTTGCTAAGCTGTTTTCAGTTAAGTCTGCAGCTTTGGGGGCATGGTTCGGACCCTGGGTCTGTGTTTCAGCAGGCTTGCATGTCTGGCTCAACAAGACAGGGTTCTGGAGTCCCAAGCTGGCAGGGAAGACAGGCTCAGAGGTAATTCCAGCATGTAAGGTGACAGTCCCAAAGGAGTCTCTGTGACCGAACCCATCACACTGTCTTCTACTGATTTCATTGGCACTACTCATTGAGTCAAGTAAATATTTGTACAATTGGGCCCACC